AACTCCGTGGGCAAATATCAAAAAAATGAAAAAAATATCCATATTTCGTGAAAGCAGATGATTTTGGTGAAGAGATCCAACACTGGGCGTGATCCGTTAGAGCGTCGCGACACCGACGCCAATTTTTTAAGTTGTAACCTAGTATTTTCAATTGGTTTTTGAATTCTGAATTCCGCCATATAGCACACTTGTAGTTTTTCTTGAATACTGATGAAAAAAGGCAATTTTATTGCGTATTATAAAGAGGCCATGAGTAAGTCAAAATAAATGCAATAATGTATTTATCGATCTGTCAGAAGACCTGTCGGATTTGACGAAAGTGTATTCAGTTTTGTGTTGGTTTTTCGTAAAATTGAAAAATGGTTCAATTTTCAAAAGCAGAAAAGTTGGATATGATATGTATTTATAGCGAAGCAAAAAGGAATTCAAAAGAAACAGTGAGAATATACGCTAATCGGTACCTGACAGAAAACTACCGTCAGATAAAACATTCGCTGGCTTAGCCAAATCTTTGGCACGAAATGAATGTTTTAATGAACGGAAGCGAAAAAAACCAAAAACGGCTACTGATGAGAATCACAGTGTTGCAGTGCTAGGTCAAATGGTGTTGGAACCATATAGTTCTACCAGACAAGTAGCAATGCATTGTAACATTTCGAAATCGACAATACAACGTATTTTGGCAAAAAACAAATTCCATCCATATAAAATACATTTGGTTCAAGGACTACATCCAGGTAATAATCTTCATGTTTCATTTTTAATAACTAAAATATATTCTCATATTCAGGAGATGCTGATAGAAGATTGAATTTCATTGCATGGTTGTCCACCCGTATTCATGATGATGATCAGTTTCTAAAAAAAATATTATAGAGTGATGAAAGCCGTTTCCATAACAACGGTATAAAAGACAAATATAATTGTCACTATTGGTCTGACGTGAACCCTCATTGGGTGCAAGAAACGATATTTCAGTCTGTGCGGGGGGTTAATGTTTGGTGCGAAATCATTGATGGTTATTTGATAGGACCTCATTTTTTCGAAGGAATTATCAATGGGGAGAGGTACTTGTGTTTCCTACAACATGTGTTGCCGAATCTCTTGGAGAATTTACCAATACATACTCGACTGAATATGTGGTGAGAAATGGATTGGAAATAAAGGTCAAATGCCATGGCCTGCTCGAAGTCCAGATATTACTCCACTAGATTTCTTTTTGTGGGGATATATCAAAGACTTAGTTTATATGCGAAGTCCACAAAATGTAGAGGATGTGAAAAATAGTATGGAAGCACAAATATTTGTGCTTCCATAACGCGAGAGACGCTTTTAGCTGTCACGAATCGGGAATTACTAAAAAGATGCAACATCTGTATTCTACCTGAAGGGAGGCAGTTCGAACACTTACTAAAATAATTCTTGTTATCACTAATTGATTTCGTTATCATCATGTTAGTCGAGTTATGGTCGAAGTAACATATTTTTTGGTTATTTGAAACATTTATTTTAATTTGTAATGAATGCGCAACTAGATAAAATTGAAAAGACAATGAAATCATAACTGATGGATTCATTTTATTGAACTCGTATTGTTGCATTAATTTTGACTTATTCATGACCCTCTTTATGCAATAAAATTGCCTTTTTTCATCAGTATTCAAGGAAAACTACAAGTGTGCTATATGGCTGAATTCAGAATTTAATGCAGACTCCAAAAACTAATTGGAAAATCTAAGTTACCATTTAAAAAAATTGGCGTCGGTGTCGCGACGCCCTAATGGATGACGTCTATTGCAGGATCTCTTCGCGAATAAGAGGACCCTTTGACATCAAAATCATAATAAAGTTAAAGACAAAGCAGAAAAAGACTTAAAAAATTAGTGGTTGGTTCAAACTGAATCTACTTACTGTTAATTTCAACAAAACTAAAATACTACCTTTCACATCTTATGATGTGAAAGAATAGGAAATGAAAAAATTGAACTTGAAAAAACGGTTAAATATATCGGAGTCCATATTGATAGTTTCTTGAAACGGAATATTCATATCACGGAACAATCAAAGAAAATACGTTCCCTTATTTACAGTCCTTATTTACAATCCATGCAACTATTTTCCCAGAAAATATATAAACTCAGTGAGTAAAAGATTACCTATAATATGCTTATGTATATATGTTTCTTTTGTGCGTATATATGTGTATATGTGTGCGTATATATGTGTAGATACGGTCAAAAATTAACAACGTCAATTCGTTGGTGCTTGGTGATTGACCCTTTACCCTGTTACTGAAAGTTTGAAATTACTCCAAATGTAAAGCTAAAACACCTCAAAGACAAGCTTTCCCGAGCTTTTTTGAGGGTCCCTATGTTTATTTTTCCATACTCTTCATTTGTTTATATTGTAGTTCTGTATTTTATTTGAATTTGTTAAAATAAAATAATCATATATATTTTAGATGGTTTTTCGCGAATAACTCAAAAGGTATAAATTATTCCGAGTAGAAATGTGACTAATAAAAAAATAAAAAGAAAACCCTCATTTCTTTTATTTATTAAAGTTAATAGTATCATAATTAAGCAAGTTATGACGAAAATAATTTTGGTCCCTATTTTTTTGGCGATAAAAAAAATTAAAACCACTCTTCAATTTCTACCCCAATCGAAAATAATAGGAGCTTAACGTGAAAAGACCATTCTTGTAATTCTCAAAAAATAGTATAATTCATTTTTTGACATCTCAGATTTCAAATGAATTGTTTCGCAATTAAATAAACCGAAACAATTACTTTGGACCCCCTTTCATCATTTGAGAATTCTTATAAATTAGTCTTAGTAGAATGTTACTTTTCATAACCATTGCTGTTTTGAACCCGGCTGTACAATATTATATTTAGATACTGATATAAATTTTTATAACGATTCTGGAAAACTTATCTTCCTCTCTCTCTCTTTATCTATCTCTCTTTCTCTCTCTCTCTCTCTCTCTTTCTCTCTCTCTCTCTCTTTCTCTCTCTCTCTTTCTCTCTCTCTCTCTCTTTCTTTCTCTCTCTTTGTCTCTCTCTCTCTCTTTCTCTCTCTTTCTCTCTCTCTCTCTTTCTCTCTCTCTCTCTACGTTTCCTTGGCATTTGCTTCCTTCGCATTTGGTCATTCTGGAAAACATACATAAAAACATTCATTCGATGCGTCGTAAAAGTTTTGTGAAAAAACCAAAAGTCTAAACCACCTCTGGGAGAATCTTGATATCTATAAAGTCAAATGATTTGGAAAATATGCAAGGTGATTCAAATACAGAATTGCATTTATTGTGGGGTAAATTAGAGCGTGTATCAACCTATTTTTGTGTATTTTCGCCTTCCACAATTTGAAAAAATATAAAAAATTGTAATGGGGAACTTTATATAGCTGTAGAAATGGCAAACTTTTTTGTTCACCTAAATTTGCTGCCTAAATTCAACGTATTTGTCCAAAAAAATAAACTGCACTGACACCTGTCGGGTATAATCCAACGTCCTTCGTGGTATTAGCCAGGGCAGTAATTGTTTTCTGATAGGTATCAATCCATGAATCTACTGCGTTTGTGAGTGAAGACTGGCCTGAACGAATTGTTCCTTTATATGATTTGATTTATAGCCATTCTTCTAATGATGGAATATTTTTTGAACATAATAATATAATAATAATATACTTTTTTGTCACTAATAATAAATCTTATGGACAAAGCTTGTGTTGTAAAAAATAAATGTAAATGTAAGCATAGAAATATAAAATGTGAATATAAAAACATCTACAAAAAAGTAAAGTTAAAACGTAAACTATAGTTCAACGTCGAAATTTTGTGTGCAAAATTTGTTTAAAAATATTATCAACACTTTTATAATACATATATAAACATATAAACTTATATATAATATTACATAAATAAAAACACCCATTACACCAGATAATCAGACATTTATATCCAATCAAGAATATGAACAAAAATCTTATATAACCTATATTCAAATATGCACACTTTGTCACGTAAATTTATCATTATAGAACTCTTTCAAATCAGCCAGAAATATTTTTACTCTTATTCTAAACATTTTGTTGGTCAAATTTGCTTGTCTTATATCTGAGGGCAAACAATATATAGGCCAGTATTAACATATGGATGTGAATCTTGGGTATTAACAAAAAAAAATCAAAAGTAGAATACAAGCAACAGAAATGAAATATCTGAGGAGAATTATAGGAGTGACAAGGAGAAATAAGATAAGAAATACACGAATAAGAGAAGAACTAGACATAGAAGACATTTATAGAACAAAAACAATTAGGATGGTGGGGACACATACAGAGAATGCCAAACAATAGACCTGTGAAACAAATCTATGAAGCGAAAATAAATCTTTGGCTCAACGAAATTGTGTCTGCATGAATCACGAGATTTAATCTTACACATATACCTGATAGCAGTACTAATACAGACAAGAAGTGCTGATGAAGTGCATACTCCCCAAAACGGTATTCCATAACGTAGTTGGGATTCAACGAGGGCGTAATACACCGTTCTGGCAGTTTTTATTCCCAAATTTATTGAAGTTACTCTCACTACATAATATGCAGAACAAATTTAATTTTTCAGTTGTTTGATATGTTCAATAAATTTGAGCTTATTGTCAACGTGAAATTTAGATTGAGTCCCGTTCTTGATCACTAAGTTATCACCAAATGACAGCGCATCTGAATGATAAAATATTTGTTTTAGTGATATTGAAGGATATCAAATTAGCATCATACGACTCCTTGATTTTTTTTCATATCAGTAGATATTGCATTGTGTAAATCATTTGAGTTTTTGTTGTTCCACAATTTCCACAATACTTAAGTCCAATAGCAGTTGACAATAATTTCAAGTAATACATAAAAATTCTGAACTCCAAACAATGTGGAGTGAACCTTTGAACAGGAACAGGAATGATCTCGTCACTATTCTATACATTTTTTTTTCAGATGAACGTGAGGGTGACCACCATGGACGCGGAGCTGGAGTTCGCGATCCAGCAGACGACGTCGGGCAAACAACTATTCGACCAGGTGGTTAAAACTATCGGTCTCAGAGAGGTCTGGTTTTTCGGATTGCAGTACACTGATTCGAAAGGTGACCTCACCTGGGTCAAGCTCTATAGGAAGGTAAGGAATGTTATTTTGATCGCTAGAACAGCCAATTAATCTATAGTCACATTGACCCAATTTTGCAACATGTACGAAAGGGATTTTATCAGAAATTGACATTGTTTGATAAATATTGATATGTAGTTTGCATGACGTTCTGTGTCTTTTTGTTGTGACTTTTGAGAAGAGCTCTTCATCTTGGAAAATATTGAATTTTCTATTTCAAAAAATCAAAAAAGAATTGTCTCGATTCATTTAATATTAGAAAAAAAAAGGGGTCAAATTATTATGCAATATCATACATATTCAAACGAGTTTTCATTGAAACTATTTATGGTTAAATAGATCAACAGTTTGATGTTATTTTTGCCATAACTTCTGAATCGCTCCTGGCGAGATCCGAAAACGGAAAAAATATACAGCGTGCGCGCCCCATAAGCGCACAAACTCACTACACCTCTTGCAAGACATACAAATGCTATGTACAGAGGCGTATCATTACTTGTCCTCCAATGCTGTTGGCAACTGAATAATTTATGTTTAAAATTCTTATCGTCTGATAAAAAACCAGTCACAAAGAGTCAGGCACGTGAAATAATTTTTAAAGTGTTCAATTATTTTCAAAATGTGATTCGGATACGTTATCAAATGTGAAAAATAAAACATCTCTTGCTACAGGTAACATTAAATAAATTTAAAAAATAACTATTTCAACACAAATCTTTATTTTGTATTAAATATTTCAATAAAAACCATTGAAAGAGTGATTAAAGAAGGGGAGCTATTATTTTCTGTAAATAACGGAGAAGTGAAACTTTCCACCCCAAAAAAGAAGCGGCCTAGAAGAGCACCAGTAACTGATATTCCCGAGCATGAGTATTCCAATATTAGACGAATTATTTACGACTTTCATAAGACGGAACGGTATCGTATTACACAAAATTAATGTTTTGGGAATTATGGCTTCCGAAACATCTCTTCGTAAAATTTTAATGGAGAAGGACTGAATATAATAGAAACATTTTCATAGAGAAAATGGACATCAGAGCAATGAGGATCAAGTATTTACAAAAAATCAATTATTTTCGTAGCCAACAGCGACCAATTGTGTTTCTTGATGAAACATACCTTCATAGTGAACATATATCTTCCGAGAACTGGACGGATAAATCAACCAAAGCGTTATTTAAAAATTTTGCGAAGGGACCAAGACTCATTGTTGTCCATGCAGGAGGTGACATGGGCTTTATACCTAATTGTCGGTTTAAATTTAAATCAGGCACATCAGGGGATTATCATTCAGAAAAAAAATCTGAAAATCATGGTAAATGGTTACAAGAAAAGTTAATCCCAAATTCACCTGTGAATTGGGTAGTTGTGGCCGATAATGCTTCATATTATAATTTTCAAAGTAATCCAGCCTCCAACGCAAATTCTAGTAAAGCTTACATGGTGAAGTGGCTGCATGAAAAAAGCATTTTTCCCCTAACATGCTCAAACCCGGGTTATACGAGTTGATTGAGGTAAATGAAAAGCATCATATTAGATACAGATTTGATGAGGTTCTGCTTGAACACGGACATAACGTTTTGCGGCTTCCAACCTACCATCCTGATTTGAATCCCATTGAACTCATATATACCCTCCACCGCAACCCGCAAGGGTTTATTGTGGCTCACACCTATTCACACTCGACCAAATGAACCCAGCTTCTTAACGAAGCCGATTAGTTTGTATGGTGAGTGGTCTTTCAGGTCAGATAGTAAGAGTACGGCTCAGCTGAATTCTAAAAACCTGATTCGGTCCCCAGCAGGGCAGGCACAAAGTATGTGCTCTGCTGTTTCATCATTTTCCAAACAGAAGCAACACACACTGTCCTCCGACAGTCCGAGTCTCTGCATATGATGATTAAAATGACAGTGACCTGTAAGAAGGCCTGTTAGACATCGTAGTTCATCCCTGCTGTAGTCCAGCAATTGTTTGGAAAATTCTGCCAGAAGTCCATAAATCTTAAGTATACTAGTACCTATATTACTAAATAAAATATGAAAATAAATTACAAAGAAGTCATGTTCCATTTGCTACCCTAATTGAAACTAATTAAAGGTACGACACTGGCCGGCAAGAGGCTTATCGTAAACCAAAAGTAATTCAGTTGGGAGAGTCTATACCTGCGCCAGCACCCGTGCCGTGTATTGTATCTTATTTGTTTCAAAAAAAAACTGAAATATTTTTGATGCCTTCACTCCTTCGTCTCAAACTACAGCTACGGGGCTGAGTCATGGCCGGTGGGAGAAATCGTATCTGCGTAAAGTTTGGGTCGTAGGAAAGTATTTGGAAAAATGGAATAGAAACTTTTGTTTGCAATTTTACGTTAACGTCTCGAATAATCTAACAGGCAGATAACAGATTTCTACACATCTACTGCACATCTTGAGGGATGGGATTCTCACCGGCCATTACACAGTCCGGCAGCTATACTAATAGAAGCTGTAACCTAAACAATTTTCTCTCGACTAATATTTTGAAGTACATCTGGTGACGTGAAAACAGTCACGCTATCAACTTTATCACTTAATCTCTTGTACAAGCATGAGTTTGAGTGAAACTCAAAGATGTATGGATTCGTTCTGAACGAAACGAGTCAGTGAGATTAAATGATAACCGTACTTGAGATGAAAGATGCTGATGATGATAAAGGCTCTCTTATCACGTGATCCGCCCGAGTGGCCAGGGATCTTCAACCGCTCTTAGGATGAGATTCTCATTCAAGGCGTTCAGTGCTGTAGTATCGAAGGATTTGACGGTCCCGCACGGACATCGGATTAGTCAGAATAAACGGTCGGAAATTGATATTGTGTTTAGTTTATTCGCTGTTGTTATTATTGTTTTCAGTTTTTGTAGTTGGTTATTCTATAATATTCTATAATAACCTTAAATTTCGTTTTAATATGAACGCACGCTTATGGTAAAAAAACGAAATTGTCTCCTCACTTCGTTTCGACGTCACCGAGAACTTTGTGAATTTATGAATGAAAGTAGTGGGAGTGGACTAGTTGATTTTTACTATGATAAAACCTTCCTGTAGCTACGACAAACGTGACAGTTTGAATGAAACGAAGGATTGATATAGATCAGTACAACTTCAATGTACTGAGTAGGACATGCAAAAATCTTTTGCAACAACGGTTATTTCTGTTGGAGCTGAAAACGATTGTCCGATGTGTCGCAAACATCAATTTTCGTGTGTAAAAACCGCAAGTAAAATTGTTTTCATCCTACCTACACACGGAATTATCGGCTCATGAAATGTCATTTATTTTTCATTGAATGCAAGGTCATCCATAAGTTTATTTGTCGCCGGATATATTTCATGATATTTTTATTTGAGAGAAGTGAAAGATGTTTATGAAGTAAAAGTTGTCTTTATCACACTTTCATTGGAATTTATATACCTTTATTGAGAATCAACATGATCAATACAGTAAAAAACGTATTGAGAAAACCAACATCGTTTTGGAGGAGAAGTGAGCTAAGCCACATAACTGCTGTTTGTAGAAAAATTACAGTAAAGTTTTACTTAATAATCATTCATTCGTATCTATTTATTCATTTACCTTAATTTAATGAACACATAACAACAGTTTGTGGCTTAGCTCACTTCTCCTCCAAGATATTCCGATCCTAAATCCCCCCCAAGCTCCCTCCCGGGTTGAGTGCCCTGAGTTGAAATCTTCTCCACACGGTTAATGTATGCAGACCATCCCATTTCGTCCATCCACCCCCTATCCTCCGGAGCGGTCCTCAACTTACTAATGGGCACTTCAGCAAGATTGACATCTGACCTTTTTTTGGTCGAAAGTCAGCCTCTAGGTGCTTTTACTTTCTGATCTATTGTATTGTTTTATCTTGACTTTCTTAACTGAATTTTTGCATGGGGTCCCCAAAAGCTAACCGGAGACTATTGTTTTTGAAAAAGAGATCGCGGTCGAATGTTTCTCGTTGAACCTGTAAAGGAAGTGTTAGTTCTCTGTAAGAAAAATTGTTATACTTACCGGAGCCGCCTGATAGCGACTCTGGTGCTTCGTTGGCCTCGTGTGTTTGTCTCTCTCTCGGAATCTGAGGTCATCCCTGTTCAGTGCATTGTGTAGATCGCTTAGCGATGGCTTGTCGTGCGCTCGAATTATGTCAAACGTATCCTCTGCGTGTTTTCTCATGTATGCATCCACGTAGTGTATGTTCAGGTCTAGATCCCGGAATATGTACCTATTTGGTACATACTCGTATCTCGGAGCCTTCACGGCGGCCCTTACGTACGCGATCATAAACAACTGGAACTGTCTTCTGTATGTCGCTACGCATTGGCCCCAGGCAGTGTAGGCATACAGGAATATCGGTAATATTACGGTCTTTATCTTCAGCAGCTTCACTTTCAATCCAATGTAGCTTCTTCGACCTATTATTGGTAATAGGGCAGATCTCGCCATTCCTATTCTCTGCCGTATGTGAGACCTGAACGTTAATCTTTTGTCTTGGTTGACTCACAGGTATTTAGCTTCGTTGGTCCACGGAATCTTGTCCGTTGAAGATGACGTTTCTTTTTGGGTGTACCATCCTCCGGGTGAACAGTATCGCCTGACTCTTGTCAGGGTTTATACCGATCTTCCACAGGTTGGCCCAATCATCTAATCTATCTGCCTGTTGCTGCAAGTATCTGGTAACGTGCGCCTGGCTTGTTGATCTCGCCAGCAGAACTGTGTCGTAGTAGAGCGCCAACTTGTTAAAGTTGTTCTCCGGCTTGGGCACGTCTGCTTTGTATACCGAGGAGAGGTGTGGCGAAAGAACTGCACCTTGTGGGACCCCTGCTACCAATAATCGCATGGTGAATTCAAAATTTAAACCTCTTCCCACTTTATACGCAGTAAGTAGGTAAATGGCATCACATTCGATAAACTCGGCTGAATGCTTCACGATGAACCTTCCTTATAGACTGTGGATCTGGCAATATAGATGTTAAC